GTGACAAGTCGTTAATTAGTATCATAGATTTCATAGACACGTGTGAGGTTTAAAATACGAACGGCAGAAAAAAAAAAGAAATACTCAGAATACTCACTCCTTTTGACGTCCACACTTCTCCCTGCAAAACGAAATAAGAAATAGGATTAGTACACTGTAAGTAAAAGAAATTATTTCATATAAACAGAAATTTCAATGTAAGGTAGCTGCCGATCATCATGCTTGCGTGTTTCCAGTATAACTAGTTCAGTTTATTTTTTTATATTTTGATATGCATCCCTTTCCCAGGGTATCTATTGAGTTTGTATTTGTGCGAGAGAGCTTATACTGGTGTGTGTGTGTGTGAAGCCTTACCGGTCACGCAGCAGACTGGGAGTCGCCGCAGTCGCCCTTCGCCAACTTCCCTTCACAGGAGCCGGCGGGCACGCACTCGCCCTTGCACTGAGGCGGAAAGGAGAGAGTCAGTGGAGGCGGACGTCAGCACGGGTGAGTCAAAATAAGGGAGAGTCAGCACGGGTTAGAGTAAAAACAAGGGAGTCAGCATGGGGGAGTAAGGATGTATGTGTGTACTTATATATGTTTATGCATACACACATATATGTGTATACATACATATATATGCATATATATTTGTATGTACTAATTTGTAATTTATATACGTATACACACACACATACACACATGTATATATTATATATATATATATATATATATATATATATATAACATACATTCATATATATATATATGCATAAATAAATATGTCTGCATATACACATATATACATAACACACCACACACCACACACAACACACACACACACACACACATATATATATATATATATATATATATATATATTATATATATATAATATATATATATATATAATATATCATGTAAACTTAATGAAAAGAGAAATCGAGAAAAATGATGTCCATTCTCTTTGCCCTTACTTTTTTCGCCTCAGCGGCCGCCATAAGAGCCGCGAGAGCGAAGACCAGCAGCAGAGAAGCCCTCATGACGCTTCCTCAGGAGCTCCACGTCCGATGAGAGAGAGGGAGGCAGCAAAGGACGACGAAGTGCAGGAGGCTTGTTGTCGGAGCGGAGGCTCTCGAACACTGGTGCTAGGCTGGTTGGCCGAATATTTAACTACGGGCGCCTCCCTCTGAACCCCCTCTCCCCACTGTCGCCCCCTTTCGCCCCCTCATAACCTCGTCATCCACACCTGTTTCCTCCCGAAGGTCGGCCCTCCGCGCCGAGGACCCGTCCCTTTCCGACCCAGTGGGGCTTTGTTCTCCATTGGCCCTTTTTCTAGCTCACTCACCCCCCCCCTCCGCTGTCTGGCTTTGTCTGTCAATCATCCTCATGTTCCACATATCTAAAATACACACACATACACATATATATGTATATGTGCATATATATATGTGTATGTGTGTAATGCTTACATAGTGTATATATTCATATATGTATATATGCATACATATACGTGTATGTGTTTATGTGCGTGTGTATATATGTAAATATAAACATATAGATGTTTAATGATTAGATAGTATATATATATATATATATATATATATATATATATATGATAATTACGCAGTACATACATACACGTTATGTCATAGTTTTGCAAATTTGTCTTAAACTTCAAATATATTTCCACAAATACATGTACCTCTAACGGTTATAATCGAAACTGGTCAGACATCTTTTGCACTGTGAAGAGATTCTTTCTCATTCATACCTAAAAAAAAAAAAAAAAAAAAAAAAAAAAAAAAAAAAAAAGTAGATTTACAAGTTATACTGCATTTGGGATTGCTTCATTTGTCGAAATATGCAATATGTAGCATGAAATATTACTCCTTTCCAGAATATTTTAATAGTGGCCTCATGTTAAAGATAAGGTAATTTCTGCTAAGTCAGGAATTCTATGCTAACTTGGGTCCATTTACAAAGCCAAACATCATGTCTTTATCTCCATTCACAAATGTGTCCTTTGAAAGAATAAACACCAAGCACACATAACTTTTTTCTTTGCTCATATTTATTTTTAAATGAAACATGTTTAGAATCTCCTTTTTATCAAAATTATGCATTTTGAAGGATATTTTACAATAACATTCGACGCCTGCTAATTCTTATTTGTAAAAAAAACGACCTACAGCGCCACCTCAAGGAATTAGCTCTGATGACGTCATAAGGTGTGCTCCTTTACACATTACCAACAGTAACCAATCACGGCGTGCAGCAGCAGTGGCGAGAATTCTTGTGTGTGTGTGTATATTATATATATATATATATATATTATATAATATATATATATATATATATATATATAAGTGTATATTTGGGTATTATATATTCTACATATATAGATATATATGTATACAAGTATATATATGTATGTGTGTATATAAATATATATATTATATATATATGTGTGTGTGTATGTGTGTATTATATGTGTATATTTATGTATATATATACATATAAGTATATGTATGTTGATAGCGGAAGTAAAGGGCGTTTGTACCAACAGCTATCTCAGGCAAAGGTGTAATTGTGTAATAGATCTTGCAATTGATGTTTTTTTTTTTCTGTTATAGAAATGTGAAAGAGCGGGAGGGCAAATGAGCGAGGGGGGGAGGCAGGAAGGAGGGAGGGAGGAAGACAGCCAGACAGACAGACAGAAAAATATAGAAATAACGTGTAGTAGACGGACCAACAGAAATTGAGCGAGCGAACATAAATGGACTGACTGTTGACTTGAAAATCATGAATACAATTTGTTTACAATTTTCTCCATGGTGTTTGTATTGTTAGCGTCATTTATATAGCAGTCCTTTTTAGGTAGTTTTCTTGTTTATTTATTTATTTATTTATTTATTTTTGCTACTCCCTATTGTTCCTGTTCTCCGTATTATGAGCCATATAATCATTTAATATTGTGGCTGTTAATTTCCGTTTTATTATTTATTATTGTTATTATTGTCCCAGTTATCAACTTTGCTTCGTGTTGATATTATAATGACGGTACAAGATTTATCGTTGATAAAACTAAAGTGCATTTTTTTTATATTACTTTGTTCTTTATCATCATTTTCTGCACCATCGTTTATTGCGTGTTATTACTATCAATGTAACTTGTTTATAAAAAATAATTCTCTTTTCGTTCATCTGTTAAGCGTGGACCAGGTGCCATTACTTACGATAAGGTTTGAATAGTCATGTACCAAATCCGTTATCAAGGGTACTGTACAAAACGACTTTGTGATGAACTCGCCAGCTGCCAGTTTTATTATGATCGCTATCGACATCGCTAAGTAATTCGATTGATCATAAAACAAGAGTGCATGTTTGATATCATTTGCTTTACGTATCATCGTTCTACCAGATACTGTACTTATCGTTTTTACCCCAACCATTGTGCATTGCGTGCTGTTACCACCATTGCTACTTGTTTGTAAGAATAGTTCCCTTTCCGCTCCTCTTTTGAATGTGGACGAGCTGCCTTTGCTGCGATAGGGTTAACATCATAAACCACTACCGTTGTCAAAGGTTCTGCTAAGACGACTTTTGGGATGAAGTCGCCAGCTGCCAGTCCCTTCGGACAGCCTTTCTCTCTCGACTACTTCCTAGGAGGTATTATTACACGCCGTAGATATTATTACTTGAATGAATAAATGCTTAGCTAAATAGATATAAAAGGGTAAGTGGGTTCGATAATGTTAAGTTACTTATTAATTATTAATTTTAATTAATTGGTTCATGTTTTTCTTATTGATAATTGCTAAATTGGTTAGTAATCGAAGTCTAATGCTTCGTTGGTTATTTATATTACTTGTGTTTATAAATAGTTTAAATGATCTAGCTGATTACACGGTCCTAGTTGAAGATACCAACGCTCTTATTATTAACAGATACGAAAAAATCATGTGTTAATGGTGAAGTTACTAGCTTTATGTTATTTTTACTTACAGAACTAAAGACAATATAACACAAATAGAAATGAAGAAGAGAAACTTCAACCTGAAAGCCAATTCTTTCTTTCTACCTTTTCTTTTATCTCTTTCCCTCATTCTTTCGTATTTTTATGATTTGGTTTAGAGTCGACGTACCATTAATTGGATACCCTCAAGAGCTGGTACTGACGATCGAAGGAATGGTATGCATGTCAAAGGCAAGTATTCTGTCTGACTTTTTATTGTTAATTTATACATCTTTTTATCAGTACGATTGTCAATGTGATGTAACATCCATCTCAACCCGATTTCTCTCCTCATATCCGACCACTTTGCTAGAAATAGAAAATTGCATTTAGTACATTGTATTTCTGTAATTGAATCTGAAAAGAAACATTTATTCATTAGAGTAGAGGCTAGTCAAACCCAATAGAAAGCAGATTTGTGCAGAAGACAGACTCACAGAGTGGAAAAGGGAATAGAAAATAGATTTTAAAGAGCCGTTGCATGCAGGAAGAATAAAAGAAAAAAGAATGATGTACAAGAAAGGAAAAGCGACGAAATCGAACGAATCGCAATGGCCACATTTGGGTAAAAAGGCAGTTGATAACAACGGAAATGCCTTTGGAAAGTGCAGTTGCGGTTAATCGCGGCATTAACGGTTCGCGGCCAGACGGGGACCGTTGAGAGTCGCCGACGCGCCGGAGCCAGCGACTTCAGGCTGCTGGTATACACTTCAGTGAAATATGAATGAGGAAATGACAATGAATGATGTATATTTTAGTTGGTTTGTCCTGTAAAAAAATAATGTTTGTATATGATGATGAACTGAGCTTATCCCTAAAGCTTTGTATATGAACACTAACGAACTCATTCCGAGTTCTTTGGACAATTTAACTATCAGGTCTTTTTATGCTACTGATTTACTAACACTTTATATTGTAGCAAAGTTGAGCCATATTTTGGAAAGCCTATCTGGGCACAGCAAAGCTCGCTAAAACTGAGCATTTCCTGAAGAACATCACTTACCTAGTGGAATGCAGCAGCCGCACTTGTTCTTTTTGCCTCCCTTCAGTTTCTTGTTGGCCTTGCAGTAGGGTTTCCCGGTCTCCAGCGTGCCGTCGCAAGGCAGGGATATGGGCTGGCAGAAACCGCCCTTGAGGTTGCACAAGCCCTTGTTTTCGCATGCTGAATTAGAGAGGGCGGCATTAGTGTTAACAAGGCGTCGCTCGTTGTCTTAACCCCCCCCCCCTCCCCTCCCCAAATCTCTCTATGTGTATATAGATATATATACAGTTCATCATATCCATACCATTCCGTATGGATCATATCTATTCAGCTATATCATGAACCGACAAAAAAGTCATATGAACGCCAATATCATAACCAGACACCAGGAGAACGATACAAAAGACTCACTTCTGGCACAGCAAACGCACTTCTTCTTGCCCTTACAGAAGGCTTTCTTGCCCTTGTTCTTGAACTTCACTTCTCCAGGGAGACACCTCTTCCTCCTGCATTCACCCTTGAGCTTGCCACATTTGCGGGTAGGCTTGCAGTCTGGAGGGAGGTGGGGAGAGGTAGAGCCTTAGCCATCTTTCGCACTGGAGCTATTTTGTGCTTGTATACGTGTGTGTGTGTGTGTGTGTGTGTGTGTGTGTGTGTGTGTGTGTGTGTGTGTGTGTGTGTGTGTGTGCAGGGACGTCATTTCGTAAAATGATTGGGGGGAGGAGATTAAGGACGTGAAAAGAAATTGTCGATAATATGAAAGACATTCATTATTATGTTGTCTTGTATTTTGATTGAAAAAGGGTATACATGGAGTTCTTAAGTTATCAAAATAGTTTCATACATAGCTAGCAGCTTCTCAGCAGCTTTAACCAGCGAAAAAGTTTTCAAGATTCGGAAACTGAATTCCCACTTTAAATCCCAAAGGACGTTCCTGTACACACCTTTTTTTCGGAAACAATTGCGTTAGGTACTTACCTTTGTGAACGAATGGGTTATTTACAGTGAAACGGCGATATCAATTCTATAGTCAACATGAGTTACTTTATTTGTATAATACTTCGACACTCCTGACGAAATTACCAATATCTGTTTGAAGCTTTCACCTTAAGAAGAAATAGAAATAGCAATGGAAAGCACGAGAATAAGTTGTGCCAAGTCGTTAATTAGTATCATAGATTTCATAGACACGTGTGAGGTTTAAAATACGAACGGCAGAAAAAAAAAAGAATACTCAGAATACTCACTCCTTTTGACGTCCACACTTCTCCCTGCAAAACGAAATAAGAAATAGGATTAGTACACTGTAAGTAAAAGAAATTATTTCATATAAACAGAAATTTCAATGTAAGGTAGCTGCCGATCATCATGCTTGCGTGTTTCCAGTATAACTAGTTCAGTTTATTTTTTATATTTTGATATGCATCCCTTTCCCAGGGTATCTATTGAGTTTGTATTTGTGCGAGAGAGCTTATACTGGTGTGTGTGTGTGTTAAGCCTTACCGGTCACGCAGCAGACCTGGGAGTCGCCGCAGTCGCCCTTCGCCAACTTCCCTTCACAGGAGCCGGCGGGCACGCACTCGCCCTTGCACTGAGGCGGAAAGGAGAGAGTCAGTGGAGGCGGACGTCAGCACGGGTGAGTCAAAATAAGGGAGACTCAGCACGGGTTAGAGTAAAAACAGGGAGTCAGCATGGGGAGTAAGGATGTGTGTTACTTATATGTTTATGCATACACACATATATGTTTATACATACATCTATATGCATATATATTTGTATGTACTAATTTGTAATTTATATACGTATACACACACACATACACACATATATATATATATATATATATATATATATATATACATACATTCATATATATATATATGCATAAATAATATGTCTGCATATACACATATATACATACACACACACACACACACACACACACACACACACACACACACATACATATATATATATATATATATATATATATATATATATATATATATATATATATATATACTGTATATACATACATGTAAACTTAATGAAAAGAGAAATCGAGAAAAATGATGTCCATTCTCTTTGCCCTTACTTTTTTCGCCTCAGCGGCCGCCATAAGAGCCGCGAGAGCGAAGACCAGCAGCAGAGAAGCCCTCATGACGCTTCCTCAGGAGCTCCACGTCCGATGAAAGAGAGGGAGGCAGCAAAGACGACCGAAAGTGCAGGGAGGCTTGTTGTCGGAGCGGAGGCTCTCGGAACACTGGTGCTAGGCCTGGTTGGCCGAATATTTAACTACCCTTTGGCGCCTCCCTCTGAACCCCCCTCCCCACTGTCACCCCCTTTCGCCCCCTTCATAACCTCGTCATCCACACCTGGTTTCCTCCCGAAGGTCGGCCCTCCGCGCCGAGGACCCGTCCCTTTCCGACCCAGTGGGGCTTTGTTCTCCATTGGCCCTTTTTCTAGCTCACTCCCCCCCACCTCTCCGCTGTCTGGCTTTGTCTGTCAATCATCCTCATGATCCACATATCTAAAACACACACACACACACACATATATGTATATGTGCATATACATATATATGTGTGTGTGTAAAGCTTAAATAGTGTATAATATTCATATATGT